ATGGACAATAAGATCCATTTCTATAAATTGAAAAAAATGCGAAGTTAATGCATTTTGAAGGGACATATTTATACATGATAAAATTAAAAAGGAAAGCAAGCGATGACCCTTTGTCATTAAGGGTAGGCTACTTTCAGAGGCGGGGAATTTCTGAGGGCCGGTGAGTTCCAGATAACCTTACCTGACGTGGGGCGGGGGGGAGCGGGGAGAGGAGCTTGACTTTGCCAAGGCCCATGAAGGAAGGAGTCCATTTCCTCTGACATCTCTCTGTGCTTCCTGCTACATTTGTCTTTGCTGTTAATGTTTCTGAGAATACTGGCTTGTAGGTTTGATATATTTTTTTTCCTTATAAGAAGTTCTTTGTGTTGTTGAACTCAAGAATATAGTTTATATGTGGGATATTCTCTGGGAGTGATGAATGTTAATTTTGTTTTTGGGTGTTTTCCATTACTTTCTTAATCATCTAATTTCTTTCTCAGACGATTTTGAAATAGTTACTGTAAAAATTAATGTGGAACAGTTACTGTAGTAGAAAACTTGATAAAATGGAAGAAATAGGAGCTTGGAGTCCAACAGACCTGGGTTGAAATTTTTTTCTCCACTCAATACCTATGCTTTATTATCTTCTCTTTGCTGCTTTCTGCTCCTCCTCCCCTCCATCCTGAAACTAGACCTGATTTAGTTGCTTAGTATCTAGTAGTTATCACCATCCTTATCATCATCATTGTTGTTAAAATCTGTAGGGAATGGTGTCAAAATAAATTACAGAATCCAGAACAAACAAGGCACTCATAGATTTCAGAAGGAACTCTTCTTTTTGTTGTGGTCTAAGCTGTATATGTCTCCCCTGTAAAAATTAGTGTGAAAGCAGCTAATCATGGCCCATGATGATTATTACTGTTAATAAATAACAGGTTGATTGACATAGAATTCACAGACCATAAATCTCACCCCCCCTTTTTAAAAAAATTTTTAAAGATTTTATTTATTTATCTGAGAGAGAACACAAGCAGGGGGAGGGACAGAGGGAGAAGCAGTCTGCCCACTAAGTAGGGAGTCCGACACAGGGCTCAATCCCAGGACCCCGGGATCATGACCTGAGCCGAAGGCAGATGCTTAACTGACTGAGCCACCCATGTGGCGCAAATCTCACGTTTTTAAAGTGATATTAGTAGTTTTTAGTATAATCATAAAGCTGCACATCTGTCATCACTAATTCCAGAACATTGTCATCACCAAAACCAAACCCAGTACCTGTTACCACTTATTCCCCATTTTGCCTATTAATTCCCTAAAGCTGCTAATCTCTTCTTTCTCTGTAGATTTTTCCATTCTGAATATTTGCTGTTTTTTTTTTTTTTTAACTTGGCATGGTGTTTTCAGTATTATGTTGTATCAGTACTTTGTTCCTTTGTGTTACCCAGTAACATTCAGTTGTAGTTATATCATACTTTATTTATCCATTCATCAACTGGTGAGCATTTGGATTGTTTCTACTTTTTGGTGATGATGAAATAAAGCTGCTGTGCACATTCCAGTACAAGGTTTTGTGTGGATCCGTGTTTTTAGTTTTCTTCCTCACAGCAAGTGTGGAATTGCTGGATCAGATGGTTACTCTGTTGTAACATTTTGAGGGGCGACCACTAGGTTTCCACACGGTTTCCAGAGTGCCTTTACCACTTTATATTCCTACCGGCAATGTATGAAATTCCAGTTTCTCCACATCTTCACTAAAGTGTGTCTCTTTTTTCTAACAGGTGTGAAGTATTTTCTCCCTGCAATTTCGATTTGCATTTTCCTAATGACTAATGAGGTCGAGCATCTTTTCATGTACTTACTGGCCATTTGTGTGTCTTCTTTGGAGAACTTCCTGTGCTAATCCTTTCCTCATTTCAAAATTTAGGTGGTTGTTTTAAAGAGTTCTTTATGTCTAGGGTGCCTGGGTGGCTCAGCGGGTTAAGCCTCTGCCTTCGGCTCAGGTTGTGATCTCAGGGTCCTGGGATCGAGCCTGCTTTCCCTACTTCCTCTGCCCACCTCTCTGCCTACTTGTGATCTCTCTCTCTGTCAAATAAATAAATAAAATCTTAAAAAAGAAAAAAGAGTTCTTTATATCTATTTTGAATACAGGCCCTTTATCAGACAGATGACTCGCAGTATTTTCTCCCATTCTGGGAGTTGTCTTTTCATTTATTGATGGAGTCCCCCCTCACTCTACTGAAATATAATTGACCTGTAACATTGTATAAGTTCAAGGTGTATAAAGTTTTTTGATTTGGTGCCTTTATATATTGGGAAGTGATTACCAACGCAGTGTTAGTTAACACCTGCCTCATGTCACATTATTACCATATATTTGTTATGGTGAGAACGTTTAAGATCTACATTCTTAGGACCTTTCAGGTATATAATACAGTATTATTAACTCTAATCACTATGCCAGACATTAGATTCCCAGAACTGATGGTATCCTTCGAGTTCCAGAAGTTTTTAATTTTTTTAAATTAACATATAATGTATTATTTGCCCCAGGGGTACAGGTCTGTGAATCCTCAGGCTTACACATTTCACAGCACTCACCACAGCACATACCCTCCCCAGTGTCCATAACACAGCCACCCTGTCCCTCCTCCCCACCCCCCCCACCAACTCAAAAAGTTCAGAAGTTTTTAATTTTGTTGAAGTCCGATTTATCTATTGTTTACTTTGTACTATTGTTGTTATTGTATCTATTGTTTTACTTTGAAGAAGCTGTTGCCTAACCAAAAGTCATGAAGTTTTGCTTCTCTGTTTTCTTCGAAGAGTTTTGTGGTTTTAGATCTGTGATCTGTTTTGAGTTAATTTTCTATATGGTGTAAGATAGCATCCCAACTTCATTTTTTAGTATGTTGATATCCACTTGTCCCAACACCATTTGTTGAAAAAGATTGTTCTTTTCCCCGTTGATTTTCTTGGCATCCTTTTCAAAAATCATAATTTTGTCATAATTTTAAGGGTTTATTTCTGGACTCTCAGTTGTAGCCCATTGGTCTCTATGTCTAGCCGTAGGCCATATTATTCTATCTTGACCATTTTAGCTTTGTAGGAAACTTTGAAATCAGGAAGCATGAGTTGTTCAGCTTTACTCTTCTTTCTCGGCATTGTTTGGCACCTGTGATTTTTTAAGGCTGTTATCTTTGGTGTGTTTTCTCTTGGGAGACTTAATTTATAAATGTCCAAAATAGAGACTTAGGAAACAAAAAGAAGAAGTTGGATTTTGTGTGATTAAATCAGTAATAAATGCCAAAATAACTTCAGCTTATTGACCTCCAGTTACTTCTTTATCCATCGTTTTGTGTGCCCACCATGTGTTAGACACTGTGCTATTTTGCAGGGAAACCGGGATGAACACACACGGCGTCTCTGTAGCAAGCTTATGTTGGCTTCTGGTTTCGTATTTTTGAATGCAGTGTGGACGTTTGATAGACCAAAGGATATAATCAAAGCAGATCTATTATTGGTTGCAGCTCTTGCCATATTTGAAAGTCTTATCAGTGCAAATTCTTACCTTGTTATTCTGCTAGTTGGAATGAAAGTATAAATGGATGGAAGAAGAGAATGAGTATTTTCCAGGTAGCTGTGTTGCACATGTTGAAAAAATTAGAAAGGCACCGTATGTTCTCATTTACACTTGGGTGTACTCATAAATCTCCCATTTAAAAGTTCACTTGAAGGCAAGGGCCTTGTGTTATTTATCTTTCTTACTGATGACTGTCATCTAACAGTACTTTAAAAATATTAGCTGTTCAGGGGCGCCTGGGTGGCTCAGTGGGTTAAGCCGCTGCCTTCGGCTCAGGTCATGATCTCAGAGTCCTGGGATCGAGCCCCGCATCGGGCTCTCTGCTCTCTAGGGGAGCCTGCTTCCTCCTCTCTCTCTGCCTGCCTCTCTGCCTGCTTGTGATCTCTCTGTCAAATAAATAAATAAAATCTTAAAAAAAAAAAAAAATATATTAGCTGTTCAGGGAGCCGGTCCAACTCTTGATTTTGGCTCAGGTCATGATCTCAGGGTTGGGAGGTCAGGCCTTGCATCGGGCTCCACGTTGGGCATGGAGCCTGCTTACGGTTCTGTCTGTCCCTCTGCCCCTCTTACCCTCTTTCTTTCCAAAAAAAAAATTTAGGTGCTCACTATTTGTTGACTGAATAATTGCATGGGTCAAGCCATGAATGAGTGCTCCTATCTTATGACCTTATACTAAATTAGGGTTTGCATAGCTTTTATTGGCTATCATTCTTGCCCTCAAGGTTCTTGATTTAGGGGTAAATGTGAAGATGAGATGCTCAATATGATACAGCTTTACAAAAATAAGATTTATTGAGTCATGAATAATATGAAAAGGAAATTGTACAGATAGCCTAAATACATTTTAATATATACATGTTAGGAGTCACTTGGATCCACAAGGTGATTCAGGGTGGTAGAGGAAGTCCTGAGCGGAGATGGGATTTCACGTAGGGCTCAAAGAACTGAAGGAACACATATTGATAGAGGGGAGTGGCAAAAATTTCCAGGCCAAGAGGTAGTTCTCAGAATGGGTGGCACTGTTCAGCCAGGAGACTTCTGGGAAAGTGTGGATATTTTTGGTTGTCCTAGTATTCAGGATTGCTATTGGCTTTTCGTGGTTAAAGGCCAGGGAGGCTAAAGTCCCATAGTGTGGAGTTAGGAGTTGATTTGCCCCAAATCGCAGTGACTTCCTATTTGCGATATCCTTGAAGGAAACAGATTTAGCTGCATAAGGAGGAAAGTAGTGTTTATGAGTTGTGTTTTGAAGCAAATACTATGTGTTTGGTTTGGTTTTTGCCATTGTAGAGGCTGAACTGGGAGAAGTGTGTAGTTAGAGTGGAGTACAGCAAGGGAACATCTTAGGAACTGTTACAGGGATTTATAGTTAATCAATTTGGATGATCTTGGTGATTCTTAACATTTTCTCTTGTCTTATAGTTTGATTTTCTTTTCTTTTTCTTAGAACGAGCCTCTGACCCCAGGTTATCATGGATTCCCAGCACGGGACAGCCAGGTTGGTATCTGCTGTTACAACTCAGATGAGATGGGTGTATGTGTGTGTGTGTGTGTGTGTGTGTGTGTGTGTGTGTTTTCATACTAAGGATGATGTGGTAGAGCGCATTTCCTGAAATAATTTTGGTGAGTGATACGGTTAGTTTCAGCAACGAATTTACATTTAGAGATACGAATAAAATATATTTTTTTAATCCTAAAAGAATTATAATCATGTTACTGAAACTGTGGATACTACAGGGGGAAAAAAAATCACTCAGGCACAGCCATAATTGCTTTTGTTTTTTCTTCTCCAGGCTGATGATAATTTTTTAACCTGGTTTTCTTGATGTCTCATAATTCTAAGTGCTGGGCTTGTCTCTTAATTCTCTGCCACTTAGCCCCTGCCTGCACAGATTTTTTTGAATCCTGGCAATAATCCGCAGCAAGAAAATTCCATTCTCCTTCCTGGGGGAATTCAGCCTTACGGTTTTAATCAGGGAAGGCTTGCTTGAGAGAGGGAAGTTTCTGCTGTCTTTCTTTCTTAGATGGGGAGGATGATTGGAAAAAAGCCCAGGCCCTACTGTGGGTAGAGCAGTACTGCTTCCTATGAGACAGCCTCTGGATGCTTTAGGTGAGTGTATAAAATGCCACCCCTAGCCTTCCACGGTCTGAAACCTTGAGCAGATGAGGCTGAAGCCGCATTAGGCTGGAAGAACAGGTAAAGCTGCTTCAGAGCAATGATGTGGCTTAAGATACCTACCCTCTGAAATTTACCTCCTTGATGTCCGGGCATATAGATATTTTTTGGGAGATTTGAAAGGATAGCTCCTAGCACTAACTTTGAATGCCTGTCCAACTTCCCTATAGGGTTGTCCAAAAACCCGCTCGCTATTAGGCTTGTCCAAAGGACATGTGTCATCAGAGTGCTAAACCAAAGTGTTGTGACATGGTTGGATCTCATCAGAGACCCTGATGCTGATCTTAACAACTGGGACAACCCATCATCGCAGTCCTCTGAGTACTTGCCCAGTTCTTGCACTTTTGGTGCTGGGTTGGTATCAGACCGGCCCCAGGTAGGGTATGGAGAAAAAGGGGGAGGGAGAGTGGTGTTGATCCCCGTGCTCATCTCCCAGTGGAATCATCACCATAGCAATTGAAGTTTGTCCCTATGGAAGTTTTGTTGAAAGGTAACAGTCGTTTACTACAGATCTAAACAAAATATAGATGGTCCTTCCTTCCTTCCTTCCTTCCTTCCTTCCTTCCTTCCTTCCTTCCTTCCTTCCGGTTTGGGTCTGCTCTAGAGCTTTTGTAAACTGTGGAATTTATGCCCTTTGATAGTAGTTCTGTACCATGGCCGTATATCAGGAAAAGTCTACGGCCTAGAGCTCAGCCCGCAGACGTTCTGATTCAGTAGGTCTAAAATCGGGTTTAGTCATTCACATATTTAGAACCCTCTACAGCTGATGCTGTTTTCAGCTGGAGTCAAAAAGTAGTGCTATGGGGGGCACCTGGGTGGCTCAGTGGATTAAGCCGCTGCCTTCGGCTCAGGTCATGATCTCAGGGTCCTGGGATCGAGTCCCACATCGGGCTCTCTGCTCAGCAGGGTGCCTGCTTCCCTCTCTCTCTCTCTGCCTGCCTCTCCGTCTACTTGTGATCTCTCTCTGTCAAATAAATAAATAAAATCTTTAAAAAAAAAAAAGTAGTGCTATGGGCTACGTTAAAAGGAGTGGCATTTTCTGTTTTATCCTGTACTTTTCACCTAGGACCTTTAAAACAGAAAGGATCATGGTCAGTCTCCTGTTTTGCATACCAGTGCGTATGTTTACTTCCTTATAAAATATTACTTATGTTGGATGTAGGCTTATTTTAGATATGGGAACGTAAAAGTAATTGACAAAGCATGGGGATAGATGTGCTGAGTTTAAAGGATCCGAAAGGTACTGTGTAATGCTCTCTTCTTCCTGTGGGGATTGCAGATCAATGAGAAACTAAGCAAAAAGAGTTAAGAGGAATTTGTTAAAGCCCGGTTACTTGGAACTGCTTTATTTTTCCTTTCTCTTGTGGTAGGGACCCACTTCTGTCACCTGCACCCTCATTACTCATACTCTGTCTGCTGTAGGTCTAGGCAGACCCTTTTGCCACAGTTTAAAGCTGTTCATTTACTTTGAGGCACATTCTGATGGTGACAGGTTTATATTAGTTTATTTTCTTGGTCTTTATTTTGTTCTCTGGCTGGATCTCTGAATTAGAGATCTTAGAGCAGTGCAAACAGGCAAATATTGAATAGCTGCTTGTTGTATTTGATGAATACGGAATCCAAATGAGTACTGCTAATTAATGCCCCTAACCTTGTGAACTCTCACTTTGTGCGCGGCGGTTTGGGAGACATTCATCAGTGGGCAACACTGGTCACCGAGCAGCCTGAGCTGGGCAGAAACTGAACTTGTGATCTTTACATCTCCCCGGAGTGGTTTGGCTCAGCAAATCCAGGAGTCGGGGGTGAGGTGAAGGTGAATTTTAATTGTGTCTTTATTTGCCCTCCTCATTCGTTTATCGTTCCTTTCAAAACAGATGGGAACCGTCCCGAGACATGATTTTTATCAGCATCTCCTCGTGATTTTAAAAGAGGCAGAGTTAAAATCCTGGTCCTCCTAGAGCACTGTCATCCGTGCTTTCCCACCTCATCCTCACAGTCACCTCTTGAGGTAGATAAAGCAAACACTTCCTTTGGAGAGAGCAGGGAACTGAGGCACATGGAGATTAAAGTGCCTTATGCAAGGCCGCCTATCCGATCCTCGTTGTGTAAGGACTGAAATTTGTCTTCTCTTTTGTTGAGGGCCCTTTCCTCTGTCCTGGGGATTGTTCCCTCGCACAAGGAGAATGTGGTCATGTGCGTGTGCGCCTGCTTACCCCCACACTTCATTTATCGTTTGGCAGCTTCATAGGCCTCGCGAAGCTCAACCACAGATCTAGGAAGCCATGGCCCCTGGTTAAGGGTTATTGCCCCTGCGTTGCTGAGCACCAAGTAGACCGACATCTCACTGTTCAGTGACCTTTTTCCTGCTGTTATGTAAGCTCCCACTGGCACATTTGAATCAGAAACTTTCGGAGCAAAGGAGGGGGGGAAAAAAACACGTGCTACCTTCTGGAGGTTTTGCCTTTTTTATGTGCGGTTGCCCCAGCCTTCTTGCCAGTCAGTTAGCCAGCTTTCTGAGATGACAGGCCATTGCATTCGTAAGGCACTCCAAGCGCTTCACCGTGCTTGCTAATGGGCTCTCTCTGTGGCCGTGCAGGAGACGGACATCGTCCAGCTTACAGAAGTGAAAACCAGCTGGAAGGCTGAGGGTCAGGTTGATAACAATATAGGGTTTAGCTTCCCAGCTGATTCTTTCTCTGTGGTTTAGTATATGTGCAGGTGCTTATTTGAGTGTTAAGGCTGGAATAATTTGTGGGTTTGTAACATTTTTAAATGAGAGAATGTCTGAGTGTTAGCTCCGGAGTTTTTAGATAGGAGGGGCTTTGGTGTAGCAATCTGGTGAGAAGGGGACTTAGTTCTGCAGAGCTGGCTTACTGTTTTTGCTGACATTGTTTGTTTATTTAGGGTGGCTTTCAGGGGCTTTTAGAGAGTACAGTGGGAGTCCCGAGGCCAGCCCCTTGCCACCTCTTGGTGCTGTAACTTTATGTCTGCTACATTAGGGTGGCCATACCATTCCTCATTTTAGTTGGGGCGCCTTTGAGAGTGAAAAGCAATGCTCATGTTGAAACAGTCCCAGGCAAACCGAGATGGGTGGGGTGTGTGGTCATCTTAGCCGTAAGGCCAGAACTCTAGCACATGTCCCCTTGACTGTTGTGATCAGGAATTGGAATTATGGCACAGTGCATTATGTAACATTTAACCTGTGCGGGAATGAAACATTGCCATTCAGGTTTGAAATGAGAGAGTACAGACTCTTGGTTGGGTTCAGGTGTTGAGTCAGGTATAGAGCTGAGAGTAATAGTATGTTAAAAAAAAAAAAAGACTAATGTTTATAAAGTACTTTATAGTGTGCTTCCATGGTTATTGAGTTTTGACCTTCACAATAGCTCTGCTAGGTAGGTGGGGCTTTATTATCTCTATCCATAAGAAAACCAACACAGAAGGGCGCTTGGGTGGCTCAGTCAGTTAAGCATCTGACTTTTGATTTCAGTTCATGTCATGATCTCAGAGTCCTGGGATCAAGCCCCACATTGGGCTTCCCACTCAGCAGGGAGTCTGCTTGGAAATTCTCTCCCTTTCCCTCTGCCCCTCCCCCTACTTGTGCACACACTCTCTCAAATAAATAAATAAATCTTAAAAAAAAATAGAACCAACACAGAGATTTTTATTTATTTATATTTATTATTATTATTTTTTAAAGATTTTATTTATTTATGACAGAGAGATAGCAAGACAGGGAACACAAGCAGGAGCTGGAGAGGAAGCCTGATATGGGGCTTGATCCCAGGATCATGACCTGAGCTGAAGGCAGATGCTTAACGACTAAGCCACCCAGGTCTCCCATCACAGAGATTTTTAAATGAATTTCCAATGTCACATAGAAGGGAGGTGGCAGAAATGGACTTGAACCCTGGATTTTCAGCCTCCAGTGTCTTGTATTTCCCATTTGTATTCTTCTGTCAGTGTTCTCTATTCCTTGAATTGGGGATGTTCTCTTGCTAGTGTGACAAGATATTATGGAATCCTTGGGGAATGTAGCAACATGAAAAGGTTTCGTATGACCTGGATGTCCCTTGAGTAACATGTCTGTCAAATTTTCTTCCTGTCTTGTTTGTTAAAATAGCTTATGGTCCACAGTTTATCTTTTTGTATTTTAAATGTAAAGAAAAAATTAATATCATGGTGTTAGGATTTTTATTTTATTTATAAAATGCTGGTCAGTGGCTCCTTGAAATTTTTTCCTTTTTCCTAAAATTCTGTTGAAAAGCCACTCTATTGACATGTTTAGGTGAAACACGGAAACAGAATGTCAAAGGAGATGT